TTATTAACTAAATGAACTTGGACTAGTTTCTCAAAAATCCTGAAACAAGCATTAAGTGAGATGAATACTAAGTGTCTCCACTCATGTCTTATTTTGGATTTCCCCAAGAAGCAGACCCTGAAACAAGATTCAAGTGAAAATAATTTATCTTCTAAGTGGAGAAAACACAGGTGTGGGAGTGAGACAAAGGAAAAGAGCAAAGAAAGATTAGACTAATCAAGCCAACTACCAAGAAGCAACCAGAATATAAACCTTCTGGGGAAATTCTTGAAACCAGTGGGAAATTCACGTCTCAGAGTTATCCCACCAAAGGAGCAGGGATGCTGAAATATTTATACAGCAATTTTCATAAGCTATTGATTTAGAGCTGCACTGGGGTGTTCATTCACTGGTACTTCCAGCCTGTTTTCCTGGAAGGTAGAGAAATACAGTTTCTTTCAGTCAGAAGTCAGGCCAGTGTCAACTGAGTGGTAGTAAGGGCAAGAGGATGTGGGCAAATTGACAACATCTGCTCTGGTCTCCCCCTTGCTCCATGGAAATCCACCCATTCCCCGTGTTGAGTTCTCTCAGTCCTTACATTGATTCTCCTAGGTGATGGCTTGTAAAAATTTCTTTTTTTAAAAAAATGTTTCTTATGGTAGAGGTAGTGGGACAAGCTATAGTATCCTCTGCTGCAATTATTTCGGAGTTTGCAGGTGATATTCATATTACATTCTTCCATCTCTTATTTCAACTTCCCCTCACCATTTGCTGATTTGTGTTGTTGCCCAGTGGAGTCACTGAGACCTTCATCCTCGAGGGGTTGAACCCCTGGCTCTCATTCACCTATCAGAATGTGGCTACTCCATCATCTGTTCATGGTGATTACCAGTCATGAACGCCAAAGGGAGGATCCCTTGAATTACAGACATGCTCCTTCTGATTCGCCTTATGGTAGCTTGTAATGATAATTAGGGTCAATCACCCTCGCCAGTATAATAACTCCTTTCTTTGCCTGATAGCTGGCATGGAAACCAAAAATGACTAGATGACAACTACAACTTAATTTAATGGAATCCTTAATGGTCCCCTGGTAGAGGCCCACCACAGAAACCAGGACCTCCACTCCTGCAATGCCTACTATGCTTACGGGGATGGAAAACACCATTCCCCAAGTGGGCCGTCAGGAGCACTGATGAGAATGGCCCCTTCTGTTTTCTCCTGTTCACTCCCAGATCCATGTAGTTTATCTGTTGGGGACATAGTATCACATAATGGCTGATGGTTCCAAGTAAATATCAAATCCTGCAGGAGAGTGCCCTAATACCACAGGATGCCATCCCTATGCTGTGCGTTTCAGAGGCCATTCCGGTGTTCTATTAGTCTGGCAGCTTCTGCATGATATATACATGGTAGGATCAGGGAATCCCATGGTCATGTGGCTGAGCAGTAAGGCTGCTCATCTTGCAGTGGGAACTCAGGCTAGTGTCTACTAATAGAACTAAGATTTTTTAAAACTTTCTATTGCAGTATGAACACATATTTTTAATTTGCAGAAATTACAAGTGAAGTGCTTGATGAATTATTATAAAGTAACACACCTGAATACAGCTAAGATTTTGCATGATGCTTCTATAAAAGTAATTTGTTAGTTTCACAAACCAATAGTGATTGAATCTCATTATTGTATCACTATTTACTACCTAGATTTGAAAAATTCTTTAGGCCAATTCATTCCCCAGAAATGTAGTACTTATTAGTGTATAAGCCTAATAAAATCTAGCCATAAATTCATCCTGTCTCCCAACACAAGATTTATATGTTCCAGTGGATTTATACATTTTTGTTCTCTTCTTTTTATTATAGTGGAATTCAGCATGTACACATTTGATACATATGTATAAATATATATAAAATTTCTCTTTCTGTCATTTTTTGTGAGGCTAATCTCGCTTTCACAGCTCCACCAGCTCAAAGGATGAGGGAACATATGCTTCTCCATATGCCCAACACAGACTCCTCAATGCATTTATTACTCGGAGCTTGGAGATTGAGGAATCTTTGTACTATTTTATTTTCTCTCATAGTGAGTCATTCTACTGTACATTTCAAAATCTGCGATAAGTTGAAATATCCCGGAATTGAGGTACATTTCAACAAACAGCTTCCCATCTGGCAAATGAGAAGTTTTATTTATAACCAGGTATTAAAATACAGTGGTATGAAATTACACTCAAATGATTTTGTTTTATTACATGTCTAAAGGGCTGAACAAAAACACTAATCTCCTCCAATCTATTCCCCACACAACAGTCAGACCAGGAAACTCATCTGCCTTAAACTCTTCAACGAGCCCCAAATCCCCACAAATGAGGCCTTCTATGATCTGGCTCCAATCTCCTTCAGACTGTCTCTCAAAGATCCCCTTCCGTTTCTACACTCCATCAAACTAGATCTATCAGTTTATTTTATTCTTTATTTTTTAAAAAATATATCTTTATTCATTTCAGAGAGAGGAAGGGAGAGGGAGAGAGAGAGAGAGAAACATCAATGATGAGAGAGTCATTTATCAGCTGCCTAGCCCGCAACCCGGGCATGTGCCCTGACTGGGAATCAAACCGCGATCGCCTGGATCCCAGGTCGAGCTCAACTGCTGAGCCACGCCCGGCCGGGCTATCAGTTTATTAAATGTATCCTTAAATCAGCAATCAACTCAAGTAAAATCTATAGGAAATGTTCAAAAACTAAGTCAATTTTAATACACCACTTACAACCAACTAGCAGCTTTTCATCTGCTGAACCCCTAGAATCTGGAAGCAAGTTTCCAGAAGTTAGCACTCGGGTTTAGGAGAGAAATAAGGACAATGATTGTGAGGATTGTTTCAGTATTTCAGTCTGAAGGGCTGTCCTAGTGGATTCTTCCCTTGGTACCATATTTGGAACTACTGCAAGAGGCAGACCTATTTGGGAACACCCCAGGGCATTCAGAACTTCTGAACTGGTGGACTTGATTGCTCTGCATTAGAATTAAGTAAAATAGCTCTCCTGGATTCTCTCTTCCCCACACACCCAAGTCAGGAGTTTCCCTAGCTAACACAGCCCCACCAATTGCCCAAGAAGTTTCTCTGTTTCTAGTCACGTTGATCAGAGTCTCACATGGAAAGTCTGAGTTGGCCCAAAGTTCAGGTGCAGGCTGAAGGATTTTGCACATCATAAGGTTGTGAGATGATCCAAATGCCAAGCCAAGCCAAGCCAAGCCAAAGAGTAGGTGCATTGAAACTTCTTCATTTCATATCTTTGGATGCTCTCACTTTTGCTTAAAACAGCCTTTTGGCAAAGCATCAAAAAAAAAAAAAAAAAGTTTGCCTACCCATTTATAAGCCTATGTATGATTTAATCAGATGACATTTATAGAGCCCTTAAATGTGCTTAGTTCACTGGTATGAAATTGGAGGTATAAAACAAATTCTTGTGTCCTCCTGAGGCTTGAATCTGGTAGAAAGATAAAGTTTTAACTAATGAAATAATGAAGTGCTAAAATGTGTATACTTGTCATAAGTGCTTTAATTCAGAGTGAGATAGACCACTGTGGAGAGAAATGTTTAGGGAAGACTTTACAGAGAAAGTGATATTTTTACTTCAGATTGAAAGATGGGTAGGATTAAGATAAGTAAAGGATTATTGCAGGTGTGGCAGCCAAGGTGGACCTGAGTGGACACAAATGCACAGAGAGGCAGGAAAGGTCGTCTATCCTTTATAACCTTGCACCAGAAAGCACTGCTTACCACAGTGTTTCTCAAACCCTAGCGTATGTCAGAACCTCCTGCAGAGGGCTTGCGAAAGCACACATTTCTGGGGCCCACCTCCAGAATTCTGATGGGATGAAGCCTGGGAATTTGCATTTTTACAATTTCATAGGTGATGCTGATGCGGCTGGTCCGGCGCCTGGCCTTTGAAAACCACTGGTCTAGACTATGTTGATAACTGGATGGTTCTCCACTCTGTAAATTTCATCTGGAAATGATCCCGCAAATCATTTCTCTCTGCGATGCCCTTTGTTCTGCTCTTTATTGCTCTGAAGTTAAGGGCCCCTCATTCACACGCTTGCATTGCTCCTCACACCTTTTCTTCCCCCCGCCGCCCTAGTCCCACAGTCCTTTGGCCGCAACCAGATTGAGTTTGATCATTTCCTGCCTTTTTGCTGTTGTGGTTGTAAACTGATTTTAGATGTCGTGACCTTTAGCCAATCTAAACGTTAAGATTTTAGAAGGAAAACATGAACTATGTTATCAGTTTGCAGTTTCTACTTTTCTTTCTTATCTCCTGCTGATTCGTTAGTAAATGAAAGTGGTGATATGGGGGACCTGACTTTGATTTTCTATTCAACACTGATGATAATTTCCCAAACAGAAGCGTATTTGCCTTGGAATTATTTCTCTTTGATGAAATGATTACCCAAGTAGGTAGCAGTGTGATTGTTAGAGTGGTTCTGATAATTGGATGTTGATTTAAGGCTTTACATATTAAATAATTAGATTACGGTTGACCCTTGACAGAAGCTCTGAATTCCTTTAGTTTTATCAGCAATCATAGTACATGACAAATTACTAAGTAACCAAAACCCACTGGAACTTCTTGCCATGAAAGAAGTTAATAGCACATAGTAGGCACTCATATAGTTGGAGAATTAACAAATAAATGCATTCCAAATAAATTCATAAATGATTTTTATTTGCTCCACGAAACTAAAACAGGCATAGTTCTGTGAAATATAGGCACGGTGATTTTGTATCAGTTTTAAATTTGGCAGGCTACCAAATGTTAATTTGCTTTTAGCTAGTTGAGATTAAATGTAATTCCTTCCCTGAGCAACCCTAAAGTAAGCAAGCATGAAAGCATTTTCCAAGTAATCTTGGAGGAATTGACATTTAAGGGAGTTAGCATTACATCTGTACTTTAAGGCTATTAATTTCATAGATAAATTAACTTCATTACTCTGTCTTTATCTTGCATTTTGAAAGGACTCCATCAGCTGGACGACTGACAACCGAGGGTCAATTGAAACTGCTGTTAGCCCAGCCAGGTTGTAATTGGAACCTGCTTCTGGGAACCCTGTTGCATCAGGATGGTTTTTTACTGAGAATCTTGCTGAAGAGCTCAAGTGAGTATTTGTAATTATGAAAACGTCCTCAAAAAGCCCAGTCATTGTTTGAGTTGAATGAAAATGCCTTTCCTACTCGAATGTTGGCAGAGGGATGTAAACCAATTGCACTGCGTCAACAGTCAGTGGGGTTAGCAGCAGGCAAAATACTGAATTACTTTATAAACCCATTGGAAAGATTTTTTTTCTGGGACTCTGAATGAGAGAAAACAATATTTTTATATAATACTGTTCTGTCATAACTACCATTATATAGAAGTATATAAATGTATCAACATCTGGGGTTTAAAGTGCCTAAGAAAATGATAGAAACACAGTTATATGTTCAAAACAGAAGCCTCAACTAGACCTAAGAGAGAGACAAGCAGAGAGAGAGAGAGATTACATTAGAACCACATTAGAAATTTCAGTGGATCTTGAAGAGCGTTTACATAACTTATAAGCAAGCAAGCTGTGGCTTACAGCCATATCCACTGGGGCATGGAGACATAATCAAGAGAATAGTATGAATGGAAATTGAGGAGTAACAGAAGACCATATTTCTCTTAATTACACCTTTTTCTCTGTACATTACTATTTTAGAAAATGGTTAGTAATATATGGCCACCTAACATTACATCCCACTGCTCTTCTGCTACACCTGTGAAAAGTTTTCTACCCATTTTCACATACCCCTACACATTTCTCCTCCTATTCTGTACCACACACGAAGCCAGATTAAATTTATCAATCACCAATGAAAATTGTTTTTCCCCCAAATCAAAATTGTTTTTTCTCTAGTTCCCCATCCCATAACCTTCAGGACCAAATCCACGTCCTTCAGCCATTCAGATGTTATCCCTCCCTAGTTTTCTAACCTTGTTTCCCACTATTCCCTTGCATGCACTCACACACACACACACACACACACACACACACACACACACACAGACGCACACTTCAGCCATTGTCCCCAAAGCCCCGGGCACATGCTCCCTGTGAGACTTGGCTCACCCAATTTTCCTACTTGAAAGACCCACCACAGACAACTTGGTTTCCACCAGTCCACCAGCTGATGTTCCAGATTTTTGAAGCTCCAGTTCACGCTGATCTCTGCCTTGCACTTCACAGGATCCATTATCTTGGCTCCTCATTCACTCTTAGCACTCTGCCTTATATTGTTATTATATTTGCACATGAATGAGGCAATGTCACCAGGCCCTTCCAGCCCGTCGGTACAGAAATGAGCTCTATAGCATTCCCCTGTCCAAATCATTGCAGGCGTTTCGGGGAACTTTTGGTTTCTCAGATCTGTTCAGGACCAGTTCCCCGTGTTTGTTTCTCCCACCCACCTTGATGTTTGCTTCCCAAAGCCCCTTACGGGGGTGCCTCACTGCTGAACCCTTGTGAGAATATTGCTTCTCCCTAGGTGCTCTCAAAGCCATAAAACATGTGGTGTCAGAGTCACCACAGCTCCTCAAACCTCACTGTGTTTCATGCAGAAGTTTGGAAACAACCCCTCTCCTAAATCCTGAATCTAACCTTACTCCCTTAGACCCAAGCCTTATGTCTCACAAAGTTCACTTGGAAGCAATTTCTTTAGTTCCAGGCCGTGACTCCACTGTCCTAAAGGGAAAACGGTTGCTAGGGACACTGCTTCCTCAAGCAGCCAACATTTATTGTTGACTTGTTTAAGTGTCAGGCACTGAGCTAAGCACTTACATTTGTTATCTAATTTGATTCTTATAACCTCATAAAGCATTTACTATTGTTAAAAATAACTGTATTAGAGATGAAGATAATGTTACTTGCCCAGAGACACACAAAGCTGATAGATAAATGGTGGCTAGACCTGGATTTTGAACCTAACCAGAGCTTTCTGCCCCCTGCCCTTCCTATATAAATACTTACACACATCACATCCTGGAGTGGACTGGGAGTATAGGAAGAACTGTAACCTGTCCACTCTCAGATTGGATCAACCAGGACACCCTGGTGCATGTGTATTTTACCGGTCTTTCCAGCTAGGTAGTCAGGGCTGGTCATAGATTTTTATATTCTTCCTCAGACTAGCACAGTGCTTTTTACAGGAAAAGTCCAGTAATTGGCCAGTCAGTGATCAGTTAGGATATAAAATATGAAACAAGGTGGCTATGTGACATGAATAGTGTCTGACACAGCTGGAGAGTTACTGTAATAGAATCACTGAAACTCTCGGGCATGGTCCCAGAAGAAAAGTGGCCTCCTATCGATCAGCCTGGAAAATCAATGGAGATCAAACCTTTTGACTATACTCATATAGCCATGAAGTACAGGAAGAACGATTGTCGTTACGAATATTTAACCACGTTTTCTTACAAATAAATCCCACATTTACTTATCAAAAGTATTAGATCCACCTTCTAGTGCATATGAGAGACTTCAGTTGTCAGGGGTTCCATATTATGTCACCCTCGGTTTGGTTCTTATGGGGAACACAAGTGTATTTACCCAATCTGCTCAAATACCCATTCAAAGGCTATTAGGTGTTTGATCAGGGTTATTGTCTTGTATCGAATTTATTAGCTACTTTAAGTACTATGAGGATGAAGTGACAGAATTTACTAATCAATTGATTGACTGAGTTATTAAGCTCTAGTGGAAGCCTTGTCACTTTAAGTTAGAAACAATATACTCATGGAATCTTATTAACTAGGCTAAGATGGAAATTAGTATGTAATAAAAATAAGTTTGTGGTATTTTCACAGAGATTTCCTTTTCATTTGTTTAGAAGTCTTGGAGTATTTCAGAACACCATTTGGTAATTTAAAAGTTTGATCATATTTTTAGGAAAGCAAAATTTTAGAGTAAAATATGCTGAATTAGGTGTTTCAAACAACCTAATTATCAGCTTTCTTTTATGGGGGAGTTTTTCTTTATAAATAGTGTCTTTTCAGTCCAATTGATATTATTTAACTTTGTGTTAAATTGGCTCGTGAATAAGAATAAAGATATTTTAGGTAGATCTTTTTATTACACATATTTTAAAACAAGGCTCTCTTCATTCAATTAGCAGTTATTAAGTTCTGTTAGGTACAAAATTTTTCTGATAGACAACCATACACTATAAAGATGAAAACATATGGGGTTTATCTTATAGTTAGGGTGATGTCTGTAGCTTTTGGTTTGGCTCAATGAAAGTGATTTGTCAGAATTTCTATTTATTTTAAAAGAACCAGCAGAACATATATAGAAAGATTATCTTGTATTGTGAGGTGCAACTTTACTGAGGATCAGAAAATAGCCAAATTAAATAAATGAATTATAAAATTTTAACTTACAATATATGCTTCATAGTCTGCAGCTCCTAGGAAGTAGAATCATATTTCTGCTGTGGATAATAATTCCTCATGTAAGAGTATATAGTATTTTGAGGGAACACTTACACTGCTAAAACTTGATAAAAATAAACTGATTTCACGTGGTAGGTGGTTTATTACATTCTTTGGGTATAGTTCAGTTGGCATGAGAAGGCAAATGTTGGTTTTATTTTTAAATTAGGCCACCTTAAATTTAAAGAAAAAAACCTCTTAACGACAAATATTTATAGAAGACTTTAAAACTGTAAGATACTATTTCAGATTACTGACTTTAAAAACCCAGGGCAATTGTTTTGGTAATTGCCTCACTGAGGCCACATGGCTTAAGCAGTTTCTTACATGTGACATCAAAGGAACAAATATTTGGCAATTTCCCAATTGTTAGCAGGTGGCCTTTTCCTGCTGGTGACATTTGAATGAAGTGTGACTAACATTCTTTCCTTTGCCCATTGCCCCAAGAATGATTTCCAGTGAAACTTCTTGGCTTCTTGTAATTTGCAGTTGTAATATAATAACAACAACAAACCAGCAAATGCATAATATTTAACATGTTCCAGACATTGCTTCTAAGTGCTTTAAATGTGTTCACTCGCTGAATCCTCACAACTCTGTGTAGTAGGTACAATTATCGTTTCCATTTTACAGATGAGGAAACGGAGACACATAGAACTTAAGTCACTTACCTAAGTCAGGATCCTCAAAGTGGCAAAGCAAGATGTGGACCAGACCACCGGCTTCCAGAGACTCCTTTCACCCATCACACCACACAGCATCCAGGCAGAGCCACAGAACGTTTGCTAAATTGCAGGTTTCCCAGTTCATGGGAGCTATCAGGAACCTCTATAGTGGGTCATTTTGATGGTTCATTTTGTATTTTCAACTTTCTAACAAAGTGCCTAAAGATAACCAAGAAACAGACCAGCAGAAAATTCTAGCTAAAGGGCTGCTGTCCCTACCAAGTGGTGGTTGATGTAAAATGAATGGATTCAAATTCTCTTATTTTATACTTAATATTTTTCTGACCTTTTGAGTCGTAAGAGGCATATGATGGCAGAAACTTGGCATTCTTGACTTTCAAGTACAAACATACCACCTGGGGGGAGCTGGTTAAAATGGAAAATTCTGATTCAACAGGTGGAGCCTGAGATTCTCCATTGCTAACCAGGTCCCAGGTTTGCTGCCCCTGCTGCTGTTAGTCCCTGGACCACCTTTTGAGTAGCAAGGCCATCAAAGTATCTATTTCTATGAAAGGCAAAAGAATTGAGTACATGACTTGTCCTTCCAATGTGTTATAAGCTTTTAAAGAGTCGTGATTTGCTTAAGAATATTTCTAAATCATTTCATCAGGAAGTTCTCCGCTGTCAGAAAGCATGGTCTTATTCAAATATAGATCTGATTATGTCACTCCCCTGCTAAAAACCTTTGGAGGCTGCCCACTACTTATCCAATAATGATCTTAATCCTTGAGGTACGAGCAATGCCCATGGTGCTCTGGCCTTGGCCAGCTTGTCCAGCAGATTGTGTCCTGCTGCCTCCAGCTTAGTGTGCTCCAAATCATGCATATTGTGGTCTAGGTAGGGCATCCTACATTTGTACATTTATAACAGGAATGTCCCTGCAGAAATGCCTTGAGGAAAAAGGCAGCTGCTTCAACACCATTGA